GTTTTTGGCACTTCTAAAAAGTACAAACCCTTTTTTTGCTGTAAATATTTATCAGAAAATTTAGGTTGTCTCTCATTTGAAAATGTAATGCTCTGAACTATTAATGTTTAGCTAAAATGGCTTTTTGGTTTGTAAAGGCTGCAGACCCGATAGAGATGTGGGTAAACAGCAACAGGTTTGATACACAGTCACTCAAACATGCGTCAATAACTTTCCTCTTCCAGAAAGTAATGTGAATAGTCTAACTTGCCTCGGCTCTTCTGCTCTCTTACTCCATCAACACAGGAAACACAGACACTTACTGTAATGCAAACACACATATACATTTGCTGTAATCACACACCTGGATGGAGACATACACAAACATGATCCCCGCCCAGAGGAAAATAGGAAATCTGAGCTGGACTCCAAGCAGCGTCAGTATGACAACAACTTGTTTATCAGCCATAAATCCCCTGATGTTTTTATTAGCTTAAGATTACAAATTCATTCGGGTCGAGTCAGAATAATCCGAATGAGGTGTTGTTTACATGACACATTTTTATTCCGAATGGCCGTTTAATCTGATTACTTATGTCCATGTAAACGTAGCTAAGCTAGTAACTGACATTAGCACAAACAAGCTAATTTTAGCCTAATGTTAGCATCCATGTGCACCAGGATAGGCAAGAGTTATGTTAAAACATTAAGCTGAAGTTATGAAATGTGTCACAAACGGTTTGTTTTGTCAAATAACATTTTATGTATATTACATAAATAGTAATTGTAACTAACTTACCTTTGAAAAAATATCAGCGTGGTGAGCCTTCAGGTGCCGCTTAAGATTTGTAGTGTTTTTCCCACCAAGTTTAAATCCACATTTACCTCTGTCTCTCTCAACAATGCATTCGGTTCTTCTAACAATTGAGTTAAATTAAAAATAAGTCCATAAATCCTTTCTGGGTTTGAGTCCACCGAGCCCCTTCATATAACGCGTCATCCTCCATGGTCCAGTTGTGAATGAAGCCAAAGTGATCGGGCGGGCGCCGGTGTCGTGCCAAAGTAGGTATCCCCAAAATAAATAATCTGTGGCAGTAGTAGGCGTGACCAAACAAGGACATCCAAAGAAGCATACTTTTCAACCATTGACTCACAGAATACATGCAAAATAGACAGAAATATTGTGCATTCTAAATGATTGACAGACAACCGACTAACATTTTCGTCCAATCTCGTCTCGTCAACGAAAACTCACACACTTTTCATCACGTCTCAGTCATCAAGGAGCTTTGTTTATTTCATTACCGTCTCATTATCGTTATGAAAAAAGGGGGCGTCAACGAAAATATTTTATCATTGTCATCGTTAACGAAAACAGCACTGGTGGTCCTAAGATATTTTGCTAATAAACAGGCTTGACTCTAACCATTTATGGCAAATCTTTTATGATCAAAGAGCACTCATAATGTGTGCTGTGGATGACTCTCAACTACTGTCACACCAAGATTTAGCTCAATATTCGTACAATTGACTGTTTCCTTATATCAACTAATCTACCAGTGAAAATATGCAGTGCACTGTAATTGATTTTCTTTTTTCTAACTTGTTGGCACAAGATTATGACAGTTTGTGTATAGTTTCTCTATTTTTCAATGGAAAAACAATTACTGCAAATCCCAAGATATCAAAGGGTTGACTGGTTCTAATTGCACCTTAAATCGTGAGGTATGTGTGTCTGCCCTGGATAACAGATAATAAATCATGTGCTGTGGGAAAGTGGGGAGCTGAAACTGTGTGTAGGTGTGGCAGAAGTGGTGGGGCAGAAAATGAGAGGGGAAAAAATGTGGAGTATGAGAAAGGTTGGGTGAGTTTACAAGAGAGATCTTACTGGAGCACATGTTGATTTCTGGGCTGCGCATGCCATAGTATCCAGCTGGACAATCGTGAAGACATTCCCCGTACTGCCTCATCCTCTCCCTCCGCAGAAATAAGAAGAGTTTGGGCTGGCAGTTTACACAACCGTTATCCCTGGAGCACACTGAGCAACCTTTACAGACAGGGTACGCTCCATAGCTTGCTGCAAAACAAAGGGACAAAAGGTGAATTAGGTAATGAGACCAAATGGACATTACATGAAAGTGAAGGAAATTTTGTAACTGATTAATTGAATATTAGATTATTGTATTTTTTACTTTCTGATCATTGCAGCTGTAAGGCCATAACAGAATAAGAGTTGGTGTGTGTTATCATGTGTTCTTTCTTTACCCTAAACAAAACTGAGTTACGTTCTGACGTCTGACGTAAAGGTAACACCTCTAAGGGTGTAACAAGGAAGAGATGAACATTATAAGCTCTATTCATTATTTTAGTAGTAAGAAGTTGTCACAGTGTGTTAGAGTCTCTGCTTCTGAGCAGGGCAGCTCTGCTTTGTTTGGGTTTTCTTGATATGAGCCCAAGGTCTTACTGAGGCCTGTGTGCTGAGTGCTGCTCTGTGAACCTCATTGGAGTCAGAAGATCAAAAATAAAGTTTTAAAGAAGAAATGCAGCCGAATCCTGTTTATTCGGACATACCATTTTGAACAACACATTTTTTTCCTACAAAAGTGTTTCAATAAAAATGGTCAATGTGTCCCCCAACCTTCTTCAACATCTTTCGGCTTTTGTTGTCAGTAAGCACTCAGTGGAATAAAATGTGAATGCAATATTATTTATACATATGTTCAGGGCAGGATTGTTTGGTTGGTCAGCATTGCAGGTTTTGCCTCTGGGTGGGTGCCTTTCTGTGTGGAGTTTGCTTGTTCTCCCCATGCACCCGTGAGTTTTTTCTGGGTACTCTGCATGTTTTCTGAACTGTGAAAAAGAAACAGAGTTAATTAGCTTTCAAAACCTGTCAGTAAAAGTGTATATGGTTGTCTCTCTTGTTCTTGTAGATGATTGGACATGTTAGCTTTGTAGAGACCTAATAGAGTGCTGTATGAATGGGTAAATGAGGGCACAGATTGTAGTGTGAAGCACTTTGAGTGTTCTGGATGGATAGAAAAGCGCTATACAAGTACAGTCCATTTACTGTACCATTTTACCATTGCTTTGCTGTGTGGCCTTTAGAGATGTGACAAATGGCTCTTTAAAGGAATGCAGATCTTAAGCTGTTTCGTTCAATAGAGCTGATCGATTTTTAATGAGTGACATCATCACATAGGGACATATGTGATGTGTCATTATGTGACGTGGAACCATGTTTTTTTGTCAAACGGGACTCCCCTCCCCCTTTCCCCCTGAACTGCTGCAATACACACCTCTGCTTTTTTCCATGAAAAAGCTGAGGAGCGATTGTCTTTATGGTTAAAGGGGAAAAAAAGAAAGAGATTATAAGGAGTAAAAAAATTAAACAAGAAACAGATCTTTACAGTCCGCAACTCTGTTCTTCTTGTTTATTGTAAGGAGCTGCTCACAAGGAGTTTATATAGAGCTGGAGTGTGCAGAAACCACGTGACTGTGTGATCGGCTGGTGAAGCTAACGGCTAACGCAAAATGGTCAAGAGTCTGGATTTCCCATTACTGTACATGTTGGTAACAGAGCAGAAAAAAGGACTGACTATGTAGAAATCATAAAAACTTTTAATTATAATATTAACCCAATCATTATTAATATTTTACAGTTTATATAAACTTTCTAATGTTTTAAATAATGTCAGAAAAGATGTTTGTGTTATGGATTTATAAACAGAAGATAAACAGGAAATTATCTCATTTCACAACACAAGTCAGCAGATTTGATCTTATTTAGCTCAATGTGATCTGAGCAGAACATAATGTAACAGTTTAAAATTAAAACTAGATACCGCATAGCGGTAACACCATGACCCCCAGAGGCAGAAATGCACCGGAACTCAGAAGTCTTTATTCCTAATAAATGTCATGCTACTAGATGCATCCGAAAATTGTAGTGGTTTGGGAGGGGATCTTTATTTATTTTTATTTTTTGGGGTGGGGGTGGTTGACCTGATGGACAGCCCCTCATCACAGCTAAAAAACAAAAGAAATCTGAAGCTCCTATGTTTAATAGTTTTTGAGCTATAACCGTACCCCTTTTTCAGATAAATTGGGGGTCCGGGGTGGGGGGGGGGGGGGACTGATTGACCTGATGGATAGCCCCTCATCAGAGCTAAGCAACCAACAAAAAATCTGAAGCTCCTACTGTATGTTTAATGGTTTTTGAGCTATAGCCATTTTTGTACGTACAAACACCCCTTTTTCAGATAAATTACCCCTTTTTCAGATAAATTGGGGTCCGGGGAGGAGGGGGGCACTGATTGGTGGGCCTGATGGATAGAGCTTCATCAGAGCTAAACAACAAAGTGATCTGAAGCTTTTATGTTGAAAAGGTTCTGAGTTATAAGCATTTTTGCATGTGCAGACACCCCCCTTGGGATGGAGCCCCCTCCTCAAAAATGGGGTCTTTATTAAAACCGTTGGCTGGCACAGTGTAGATCAGACTGTTCTACAGCCCTGCCAAATTTCATGTTGATCGGTGCAGCCGTTTTTGTGCTACGGTTGACCAAAAATCACTGAACAAAAATAAATAAATAAATAAATAAATAAATAAATAAATAAATAAATAAATAAACTAGATACCGCATAGCGGTAACACCATGACCCCCAGAGGCAGAAATGCACCGGAACTCAGAAGTCTTTATTCCTAATAAATGTCATGCTACTAGATGCATCCGAAAATTGTAGTGGTTTGGGAGGGGATCTTTATTTATTTTTATTTTTTGGGGTGGGGGTGGTTGACCTGATGGACAGCCCCTCATCACAGCTAAAAAACAAAAGAAATCTGAAGCTCCTATGTTTAATAGTTTTTGAGCTATAACCGTACCCCTTTTTCAGATAAATTGGGGGTCCGGGGTGGGGGGGGGGGGGCATTGTTTAACCTGGTGGATAGCCCCTCATCAGAGATAAACAACCAAAGAAATCTGAAGCTCCCATGTGTAATAGTTTTTGAGGAATAACCCTTTTTGTATGTGCAGATACCCCTTTTTCAGATAAATTGGGGGTCCGGGGGTGGGAGCACCGATGGTGGGCCTGATGGATAGAGCTTCATCAGACCTAAACTACAAAAGAAATCTGAAGCTTCTATGTTGAACAGTTTCTGAGTTATAAGCATTTTTATATGTCCAGATACATCCCTTTTTCAGATAAATTGGGGGTCCGGGGGCTGGGGGTACTGATTGGTGGGCCTGATGGATAGAGCATCATCAGAACTAAACAACCAAAGAAAATCTGAAGGCCCTATGTTTAATAGTTTTTGAACAATAACCATTTTTGAATGTCCAGATACCCCATTTTCAGATGGGGTGTATCATCAAACTGTTGGCTGGCACAGTGTAGGTTGGACTCATCTAGTGCCTTGCCAAATTTAACACTGATCGGTGCAGCCGTTTTTGTGCTATGGTTGACCAAAAATCTCCAGAGAAAAAAAAATTAAATAAAATTAAATAAACAGTACAAAAATAATATGACTCCCGCTTACGCTTCGCGTGCGGGAGTCGTAATAAAGACAAAAGCACAGATTATGACAATATACTTGGCACTGTTGTATCATGCTACAATTTAACACAAACTATTAAATTTTTACTTTGTCCTCTATTAATATTTAGACCTACATAGTGTAAAATAATATTATAAATGTTAGTATTTTTAGGTTTCTGACTTGTTGAGAAGATGGTTAGCTAATAGAGACAAGTTTCATTCTATAACCTGAGAATTTTTTCTAACTGTTGACTGGTAAATATAAATATTCTTATTTTTATGACAGTAAGAAGAAATATTAAATGTACTTTATTACTAGCAGAAGTCATAATTTTTCAAATACCTAAAGTTTAAGTTACAGGCTGACTTCAGGTCTGGTTTAGATCAGTTATTAATAAATTATATATTTTTCTGGAATATATCTGCTGTTTTACATAATTGTTCAATGAAATTAACATAATTATTAATTTGTTGTAAAAACATGACAGATAATCTGTGAAACAGATCTGGTTCAGCTTGCTGTTTATCTATTAGTTTCTAAGGAGGTTGTAAGCTGTTGCCCTTTTTGGACACCTTTTCCGCTCCTCCATGCTGTCACAGACGCTACCAGTGGACGGTATGGGCAGGGCTCAGTCTGATCTTATTCAAGTCAATGGCTGTTCATGAACATTACATCTCTAGTGGCCTTGTGATGTAATATCACCCCTACACAATACCAGATGATAAAAAATGGATTTAAGAAGTTTTGTAGCACTAAAGTTACGTCCTGATGCATCTCAGTAATCCAGGTAAAAAATCAAAAGGAAAAAAAATTGTATAGGTCCTCTGGAAGGGTTCTTCTTTAATGAAACATTTCATCTCTTCTCCAAGAGACTTCTTCAGTCTGAGAGTTTCAGGCAAAATTCAGGCTTTTTTTTGACTATGATGATTAACTGCTAGGGTTGGGCAATATTGGCAAAAAATTAATCAGGATTAATTGCTGTATTTAGCCGATAACGATTATTAATCCCCTGGAGTCCCTGGACAACCTTATGTCCTAGTCGCATGACCAAGTTAGTGGGAAAGATCTACTCTTTGTAAAAAAATCTGTTACAAACTGTGTCAAAATTACAGACTTCTGATTATACATCAATTTTTAAATTGTGTTGATAGATAAATAAACTATAGAACTTTTTTAAATGTTCATCATATTTGAAGCGGAGAGGAGCACCGATGGGAATGACCGGCGAAATATCCAGTCTGTCTGCCTGGTGGCATTATTCGTATTAATAGTCAAGTGCCAAAAAATAATCGATTAATATTTTTCTGAAGATTAATTACACACGATACGATTATGCCCAACCCTATTAACTGCATCGTAAAACATTATAAAACTGCAACAAAGGAGAAATGAAGATGGAGATGATATTTAAATAAATATGTTTCCTCCCTTTTTAAAGGAGGAAAAATAGTTTTTTAAAAGAATATCTGCATCTAGACAAGAAGCAGAAAATCCACCTAAAAGGCTGAAATCCCAGTGATGTGTCAGTAGTTGGCAATCTTGTT